AGTGTTTAAAGGCTCACGCAAAAGTTTTGTTTTTCATCTCAGTTCCTTCTGGAATATTTATTTACACCTAGCCCAGATTTTAATAGCGACAAGCAAGAAAGAAATAATGGGAACCTTAACTCTTAAACTGTCTCCTAGATAATTCCAACTTTGTGTGATTTCTCTCACTATCAGCTTGCTCTGGAATAACATGAGATTGTCTAGTTTAAAGGCTCACGCAAAAGTTTTGTTTTTCATCTCAGTTCCTTCTGGAATATTTATTTACACCTAGCCCAGATTTTAATAGCGACAAGCAAGAAAGAAATAATGGGAACCTTAACTCTTAAACTGTCTCCTAGATAATTCCAACTTTGTGTGATTTCTCTCACTATCAGCTTGCTCTGGAATAACATGAGATTGTCTATAAACAAGTAAAAGGCGCACATGAGTGTTTAGGATAATGTTAATGCTAAAACCAAGATTAATTTTAATGCTCAACTTTCTTCTCACTTACATTGTTGTAACTCATTTAACTTCCATGAAGTTACTCTGGAACTTTATACTGGTGTCAGCAAATAGTGGCCCTTGGAATCTTACATTTTTTATGGCTAGCACACCAAAAGTCCCCGTGTGTCAGATAGAGGACATTTTTTACTTTGTTTTAAAGAACTCTGTCTTATGGTCTTACTCCTCTCAGAAATTGTCTAATGAATGTCTACCCACATGTTATTGCATAGATTACATGACACAATGTTTTGCAACAAATTTTACTGAAAATAATAATGAATTTGCATTGTCATGCCTTGTCATTTCCAACATGGCCTACTGTTTTGTAGGGGACAGGAAACTGAAGCATGGAAAGCTGGAGTTTGCTATAAATTAATGTTTGTGGGCAAGAGGGGCAGATAGTTGGCTTCCCCTCATTCACAAGCAGCAGGAGGGGAATTTACAACAATGAGAAGCTGCTACTTTCTGAAGCACTTAGTCATCCTGGTGGGATTCATCATTGCAACAGCATGTCAAGAGTTGAATGACTGGCAGTTGCTGTAAGATGGGCTGGATAATTTCATGAATACTAATGCTAGTTGTAGCTATTTCGGGAAAAATCATTAGAAGATGACATAATCTCCTTTCCCATGGCGTGAATGAGTCACCTGCAGAGGGCGGCAAGCATTTTCCTTTTCCTCCACATCCTTAGTCAGTGGGGTTGACAGACTTGGGGGCAAAGCAGGGAGGCTGGCTGGTAGAGCCGGAGGCAGAAGGGGTGGGCTTGGGGCTAGCCTCCCCCAAGCAGCCCTCTGTGCTGCCTGCAATATGCCACACACGGCTCCAGTGGTGATTGATAGGGCCTGGAGCTCCAGCTGCTGCTGTTGCCATCAACAGGCCTGGGCTAGAGATATAAGGGATTGATTATCTTCGGAAGATTGAGACCATTCTCCTAGGAAGGACACCAAGCTAGATGGGCAAATGATCTGATTGAAGATGGTAAAGCCTATGCTGTTTTTTCTTGTTTTCTTGATAGCCCAATGTAATTTTTAATGTAGATTCATGCAAGCAGTTCATTAACATGCCTTTAAAGATTGTACTTGCAATTAATTCTCTCCCTACGCAAGTGAGCCTCCCCACTCTATAACTCCCAGGGTGGCTTTTGCGCTCTTTTTAAAGATAGATAGCAGAGTAGGTGCTGTCTGATACGTAGGCGCAGCTCCTGGACTGTAAAAAGTCCATTACATACTTGTTCATAGCACTGCTATCTTATAACTAGTATTTTTTTAACTTCCTTTAGAACTCTCAAAACAACATCAAGCCCTGAGGATTTACTGCTGTGAAGTTTCTTTAGTTGCTCCAATCCTCCTCCTTAGAGACATCTTTCTCTCTGCCATTGCTATGCCTTGATTACCTATAAGTTGTTCACTGGGGATTTTTTTCCCCCCCATCATCATCCATTCTAGAGAAGACTGATTCAACAAACTCATTTAACTTCACCACAGCCATTTTGTCTTTTTAATTGCCTCCTTTGCGCCATGCAGTTTTCATGGACTTACTCACAGATTTATATATGATCTTGCATCAGATCTATTTAGAAGATATATATATAACTAATAACTAGAATATAATAGCTATGTGCTCTTTGTTTTTCCCCTATACATCTTGCTTGCCTATGCTCGCTAACTTTGATTCTGTTAATATTACCTACATTGGATATCCACATGTGGCTATTTTTCACTCCTTTGCTTCACAGAAAAACTGAGACTCGTGACAGTATGATATGATGCTGCTTCTAATGAAGTCAATAGCATCCTCCCCATTTGGGGATCCTCTGTTTAGAGGGAAAGAATGGAGAATACATACAGTGTACAGAGTCAAGACAACTGGGACCCATGTCCTCACAAAATAGCTTCCTGAGCAGTGTCAAGGTGAAGTGAGAAACATTTGATGATGGTTGCCTCAAAGCTGGGGTACTTTATCTTCAAAAATGAACTATTTTAGGACATGCTTGCTATACTACCCCCATGTACGCCTAATATTTCTAAACATGCTCTCTAGGGCTATTAAATCCATCTGAATCCTACATTTTCAACATTAGCTCCTCCCTCACATCCCCCAAGTGTAATCTGTTGGCTCTCTTTTTCAGTCATTCAACCTGAAGATCCTTACACTTTGTTTCTTCAAAAATGTCTCATTTATCTTCCATCACTTAAAATCATGTCTTAAAATAAGTAGCACTATAAGATCCTGAGACCTGCTTAGACACCTTCCAAGCAGGGATAGCTAGTTTTAACCACCCTAGTTCGAACTAGGGTGGTAGTGTAGACATACCCTCCCAGAGTTGGTCGGGGGGGGAATGGCAGGGGAAGAAGGGGTTGTGGCAGATGGCAGGGCCACAGCGGGCAGGGCAGCCTTGGCAGTGGGATTCTTGTCCTTCTGGGCCAGGCCTTTGCTTTTTGCACAAGTCTTTTGAGGAAGAGTTCTTGCGCAAAAATTTCTTGCACAAAAGCGTGTCTACAACTCAAAGCACATCACTTTTGCGATGCGTTTTTGCGCAAGAGAGCGTCCACACTGCATGAATGCTCTTGCGCAAAAAACCACTGATTTCCATTCACAGAATGGCCATCAGAGCACCTGTGCTTTTTCAGATAAGCTCTTTTTGTGCAAGAATGTCCACACATGCCTTTTTGCACAAGAGCTGTAGCGCAAAAAGGAGTTATTCCTAGTGAGGAGAGGAATAACTCTACCGGCAAAAGCCCTCTGTCCTGTCAATTTACTGGGGTTTTTTTTGTTTGTTTTGCACAAAAACATGCTTGAGGTGTGGACACTCCACCGGGTTTTGCACAAAAACCTTGTAGTGTAGACATAGCCTATTGGAAAAAAGCTTCTTCCACATTGAAAAAGGATTACCAATGCCGGAAAAAACCCTCTGTTCTTTCAATTTACTTTCAGAAGAACATAATTGCAGTATGCATGTAACTCAGGTTTTGTCGGAAAAATGGCCGTTTTTCCGACAAAACTCTGTAGTGTAGTGTAGACATACAGTCCCTCAGTAGCACTCAGAACCTCTGTGTACTTGCTCAGAGATTGGTCCTTGCAAACCAACATAGGCCTGGTAAGCAAAGAGTCACAAAACATAGACAGGGATGGGTGAGATTCACTCTTTAGCCTTTGTTTAGCCTCTGGATTTCGTGGTAGTCCTGCAATGCTTTCTTGTTTCCTGAAGCCCTCTTATTGTTCAGACTGGGAACACTGTAGATACCTTGCATATCTAAAATATTTTCAATTAATAATTATATGATTTTGTAGAGACAGAGGTAATGTTTGGGTATAACTCTACATGTGATGATATTTTTCATTATTTAAACTATTCATAGGAGGGGATGATAGATTCTATCAGCCATGTGGATTGAACTTTCCAACAGATACAG